CACGTCCAAGCTGGTTGGTCACATGAGGAACGTGTTGACCCTCGCCGCACAGCAGACGAAAGCGGTGCGTTCGTCGTTGCTCTCACAGATTTGTAAACTGACGGTCATTACATGTAGATCGAGTCGCTCAGGACGCAAAAGGGCGCAGCGGCACCCCCTTCGTGATCCACGGTCTTCATTTCTTATCATCCGCCTCTTTTCTCGCACCCGTTTTGTAATGTAACAACAGTGTACTTGTTACTAGATGCCATGCATGCTTGCACCCTGCGCTAACCGTAATCACATAACTAGTGCATTCTCCAACATCTAAGTGAGGCAAATAATAGCAAACGGTGTTCGAGTCATCTAATTGAAATGAAACGTATCCTCCTCGAGCAGCGCTCAATCGCTATCCGTGTCCTCCGGTTTGGGCCCGCCGTGAATGAGCCAGTCGAGCTTGCGTTTCCGCCTACGCTCTTCCTGTACCTTCATCTGGTTGCGCGTGAGCTTCTTCTTCTTCTTCACGGGCGGCGCATTGGGGTCTGAACCAGCTGCAGGCTGATCCTCAGTGCCGCTACCAGCAGGAGTTCCCGCCTTCGACCCCAGCGGCGACGGGACTGCGGACGCTAGGGGTGTACCCCTCGGCGTTGCCCTCAGCGAGCCAGCCTTCGAGTCTGCAAACGCGTCATCCACGATAGCCGCTTTGCCCTTGTGAGTGATGCGGCCGCCTTCAAGACTCCAAATCTCAGGACCTGCACAGGACGTCAGTACCTGAAGTGAAGCCACCGGTTGACTAACAAAGGGCGGAAACAAACTCCTGCGTGGGGAGTCAGACCAAATCGAGCTGACACTGGCTGGTTGTACATACCTCGTTATGAGAGATGATGATCACGGCACCACCCCAGTCCCTGATGGCCACTGCTAAGCCTCCAAGAGCGTCGCGATCCAAGAAGTTGGTAGGCTCGTCTGATTATGTCATGAGGACGTTGCAAAACAAAAGGCGCGGAAAGCTCACCGAGCACCAAAATCTGCGGCTTGTTCCAGAGGCAGGCGGCAATAACAACCTTGACCTTCTGGCCACCGCTGAGGCTACCAAGTTCGTTGTACTGGGCTATGTCACCGTTGAGCCCGACTTCTTCGAGGTGTTTGCGAACGAAATCCGAGCGCGTATCGCGCGTTGCGGCACCTGGGTTGCCGTCAGTACTGAATGACATAGGGGCAGTACCAACTGTACCTTCTCTGGAGGATTCGAGGTCGTCGAATTGTCGAACCATTTTGACAAACCCGCGTTCGAGCAAGTCCTCTCGTGCCATCCATGTGTTCCACTTGTGGTCAAGTCCACGCCACTTGATCTCATATTGGAGGCTCTTCTTGAGTTTTTGCCGGCCCATGATCATCTAACCGTGACGGCAGTGAGCTGGTTGTTTTGGCGTCGGATATACACGTACCTCGATCTTGCGCTTCTCGCCAGTCTTGCCCACGATCGGGGTGTCCAGCAGGGCCTTGTCCTCATCGGTGAGAACACGCGTGGTTTTCTCTAGTTCCTCGCGATCGTGCCCGTCCTGGAAACGCCATTGTATATACTGGATGGCAGTCTTCTCGAGATGACGCTCTGGAGAGGTGTTAGATTGAAGGAGAAAATGTGTTGCCAACATACCAATGTGATGAGTGGCGTGTTGAGAGACGTATCCGACACGGAGGGACGGGTGCTTGTACACAGTCCCTTGCTGTGGCTCGGCTTCGCCCTGATTGCTATGAGTAAAATCAAGACACGATCAAAAGTGACGGACCGTAAGCAGCTTGATAAGAGTCGACTTGCCGGCACCATTTGGACCTGTAATGCCCACACGGCTGGAAGCGGTCACACTTAGCAAAATGCTTTGTAGACATGTGAGCAATACTAACCTCGACAAACTTAGCGCGATTGTTGCATTGTATAAGCTTGGATCCTTTCTTCCGGGGTAGGTATAGGTGCAGTTGGTCATTTTCATGATCTGCGAAACTCATGAGGGTGCTGATCGAGGAATAGGGGACAAACTTACAGCACGAGTGTTTGAACGAACGCCCATAAGAGAGCCGGGAGGGGGGAACGAGAATTTGATCGTGCTGGCTGACAGCGTATAGTATGACTGCGCGCTGGGAACTTGTTTAACGAATTCCGATAGTGCTCCAGGATAGTAGACAATCTGCGCATGATCAGCAATGGTCATCATGTCGCGGTGTATTCACCTTCTTTTCCTCGTAGTGAATGATGTCCGTTGTGACATTATCCAAAAAGCTGTGTGAATATATAAGCAAGCTGTACACGATAATATGTAGGCCTAACCCTGAGTCATGGCTGACAATCAAGCAGGTGATGTGCTTTTGAGACGTCAGGTACTGTTCGAGCCACGCAACAGAGGCTCGATCCAACTTCACGAAATTAGTCGAGCGAATCACCAATCAATGTAAGAACGCACGTGATTCGTAGGCTCGTCTATGGCCAAAGTAAGCAGAGATTATAGCAATAGCCGAAGACGTACCGAGAAGCAGAAGATCTGCTTTGTACAGCATTGCACGCGCAAGTTCCAATTTCATCTTCCATCCGCCTGAAAGGCTGCCGACGCTTTGGGACTGGCGCTCCTCATCAAATCCGACATCTTTCAGCTGCTGGGCGATTTGAGCCTTTGGAGTGGACGCAAGGTGCTTGTCTAACAAACGGGTCATTGTTAACCGTTAGACTAAGGGTGATTAGAAAGCAAAATACCAGAGGCGATGAAGTCTATGCAAGACAGTGAGGTGTCTTCTCCTTGCAGAGCATGCTCAACCATGATCGCACGAAGAACATCTTGCGGGGGGAAGTTTTCGACCTGAGGACATCAGCTAAAGGCAGACAACAATGTATATGCGCACACCTTGCCGTCGCGAATGCTTTTGAGCAGTGTCGATTTGCCTGCATTTAGAGCTCAGCGATTTTAAGCCTCGGAAGAGTGGCCAGCACGTGCTGACCTGAACCATTCGCGGCACAGATGCCGTAACGGTGGCCGCGAACAAGGCGGAGAGTTGTGTGTGACAGCAGCAAGAGCGCGCCGTATGCAAGGCTGAACAAGATGTCACAAATGATTTCTTCTCCAGACTCCGTGGTTGTCTTCTTGACCGCTTGTTGTGCCTAAGAGCCGGTCAGAAGCTGTAACGACTGTGATCCAGAAACTGATATACCTTGTCCAGGCTCCAGAAGTGAGTGCGCGCTTTCTCTGCAAATTCCCGACCTTCCTGCGAACCAGCTCCTGGCTTTATCCACCTGTTCTAAGGCGTCAGTGATCCGGAATGGCTAATACTAAATGAGCTCACAGGCCAATAAAAGCTCCCACACATCTCAGCCATTTGCCTTCATTCTGGAACTGACGCCGTTGAACCAAAACCGCCGTCAGTGATGACACAAATTGCAGCGTCTCCTTGAGCAAAGGGTGGAACGGTTCGGGGGCCGTCCCAGGCGTATTGGGAGACGCCACGGTAAGGTCTGGCGGGAGCAGAGATAGCAGAATCTCGGAAGTTGATGTTGAGTCAAGAGGAGGAGTCGCAATGGGTGTATAATCCTTGGATGCTCCCGCCCCAAGCAGGGTTTTGTGGGCCGAGGCTGCAAATGCGCGCACCTGAATAAAGATGTCAACTCGGAGTCGAGTGATAGTCGCATGTATTGACGAACCTCAGGAAAGCTGGCGGTGGTCATGATCTTTTCCACGCCGTCTACCAGGCCGCTGAGATACTTGGCTGCTACCGCAGGGTCTCTCACGAGTTTGACGACATTTTCTGTGATGACGACCGTCCTTCGCTGGGTCTCGAGGCTACGTTCGTTCAGACCGCGAGTGAGCAGAGGGACAAGGATAGCAAGAGACGGTGATGTAACCTCCGCCACGAAGGTGGTGTTAGAGAGTGCTTTGATGGTGTTTGGCACCTGAAGTCACAATGAGAAAAGCCAGAGGTTTACCGCACAGACGAACCTCAGCTGGAGATGCCATTGCTGAGATCAACAACGGGATGTGTGGACGCAGATCAGGGTTGGGCAGAGTCGAGCAGAGAGCAGTGGCAGTCTTTGCTGCTGCTGTTGCAACCTGGGGTACAGTTTAGCGGCGGGAGCAAATAATTGCTGGATACTGACCTCTTTTTTTGTGTCGTGCATGACAACCTCGACGAGCGGCAGTAATACGCCGAGCATGTTGGCAATTTCCTCCCTTTCCTCCTCGCCTTTACCTTCAACCAAAATGGACATGGCCTTCAGACAGCCGACCTTCCCCATCCATTTGGAAGTGGCCTTGAGGTTGGTACTGAGAACTTGCACGACAACTTCAATGGCCTCGACAGGGGTGAGGCTGATGAGTGCTTTGATCGCGGCATTGGCAGCGGTCCGGACGACCTCGCCCTTGTCAGACAAAAGCTCGACAAGATCAGGTAGGGATGGAAGTATGAGAGGAAGTGCCGCTGGTCCAAGTCCCTGACACAGCGCCTTCAGGCCGATCGCAGCGCCTTCGCGCGCGAAACCAGATTTTTTGTCCTACAGCAAGATAAGCCCGAATACGACAGAAACTACAGAATAGAAGCAGACCGTAGCATATTCATGAAACGTATCGAGCACGCGCTCTTCTCTGCAGATAACATGTGAGCAGAAGCATCTCGATATGGTGGCGATGGACGAACCGAAGTGTAGCGAGCCCGTGCGTCCGAACCGCCTGCGCAATCGCATCGGCCGCGGCAATGGCCTCGGGAGCGGTTGGCGCGCTCTTGAGGCCGTCGAGGAGGGCGGGAAATGAAACTTTGCCGCTGCTCATCGTCGATGCAAAAAGAAAAGGAAAGAGAAAGCCGGTTCAGCGCCACCGGGCGATGCCGGAGAAACGTGCCTACCGTGCCGGAGAAGCGTGGGCAGCCAACGTGCCGGGATGGTAGGACAAGTGTGATATAGATTTTATGCACGCCACTGATTTGCTGCGACTCGGTGCGCGCGAACCGCTCGCCACCTATTATTGCTGCACTGTAGCTGTAAAAATTGCACCCAACGGGACTCGAACCCGCGACAAATTGCATTTAGTTTCCCGCATAAGTACAACACTCTACCAACTGAGTTATGGGTGCATGGCTCGCGCATTAACCCTTGGGCTAAGTTGCTGCCGTCAGACGGGAAGTTCCGTAACGTACTCATAGATCTGCATTGCGTGTTGACGAATCGAGAAAGGGGTCAGCTTCTCCCTTCTCCTCTTGCTCTTGTCCGACCGTCCGAGCTCCCATGGAACCACTCCACAAACTCGAGGAACTGCTCTCAAGCATTAAAGAGTCGGATCTAAGGCTAAGGTCTGTAGCAGCACGGCTGGATGCTCTGGACGACCTATCGCTGTACCGGGATGAGTTCGTGTTACCTACCCATCGCGCAGTCGAGGCGTCCCTATGCACGGAGCGAGGTCAGCACTAGAATTTGAACTTGATAATGAGCAACTTGACATCTGGTTTGCAGCGGACGAGCCATGCACTTACCTCTGCGGGAATTCCTTGGGATGCATGCCCAAGCGGTCTCAAGCCTTGATCCAAGAGGAGCTTACTGTCTGGGCATCCCAGTGCGACGCCTTCCTTTCAACTATGCAGAGACTTTCCTGCTGATGAAAATGTCTTGGAAGAGCTGTAGATGGTCATTTTAAACACCCGAAGGGCAGGAACTGGATGACAGCCGCGGACCTTACCCACCCCGCGCTCGCTCAATTGGTCGGTGCGTACACCCACAATTCAAGCTTCGGGCAGCCATTCAGCCTGTTGTAGGGGCACAGGAAGACGAGGTCGTTTGCATGGGCACGCTGACGGCCAACCTGCACCTCCTCATGAACACTTTCTACCAGCCAACTACGACAAGATACAGAATTCTCTGCGAAGACCGACCGTTTCCGTCTGATCAGGTTTGTTATAAACACGCCTATCAGCACATTCTCACCCCGTGTCTTGGCGCAGTATGCGTTTGCATCGCAAGTAACCATGCATGGGTTCAATGCTGATGATGCTGTCGTTGGTCTCGCTCCTCGTGCTGGAGAATACTATCTTCGACATGAGGATATTCTAGCCAAGATAACAGAGCTCGGAGAGTCACTGGCTCTCGTTCTTTTTCCTGGTGTTCAATTCTATACCGGACAAGCGTTCAAGATCGCAGAAATAACGCAAGCTGCGCATGATCAGGTGAGTTCTCTTATGCAGCGGCTTTGATATCGTCGCCGAACTCAAGCTCGTTAGGGTGCTATATGCGGGTGGGATTTGGCACACGGTGTCGGCAACGTCGAACTCGAAGTGCACTCTTGGAATGTAGATTTCGCCGTCTGGTGCTCTTACAAATACTTGAACGCCGGACCGGGGGCTATCGCTGGGCTTTTCGTCCACCAAATGTGGGAGAAAAGCCACCAGCCAAGGTACTTGAGCAGAAGCACCCGAAGTCACAGAGGCTAACCAGTTGTCGTAGACATGCAGGCTGGTGGGGACATGAGCTCGCAACACGATTCCATATGCCCAAGCTCTTCAAACCGATACCAGGCGCGCAAGGTCTTCAGCAGTCAAACCCCAACGTTTTCTCAATTGCGGCCTTGCTTGGCAGCTTGCAGGTATTCTCGTCCGCTGGTGGCATGAAACCTATCCGTGCAAAAGCACGCGCATTGACGGGCTATCTTGACCGTCTTCTGCGACAATCGCCGTACTTTGTCGAACCTTCGAAGGCATCGTCGTACTCAGAGGATGGGACACCGATGTTTACTGTGATAACTCCGCAAAGCGTCGATGAGCTTGGCAGCCAGTTGTCGTTGTTGATTTTGCCTTCAGCGAGGGCGAGGGACGGCCTCATGGAGCAGATCTTCGCACAACTACTGGCGCGCGGTGTTGTGGGCGACGAGAGACGGCCTGACGTTATTCGTCTTGCTCCTGTCGCTCTTTACAACAGGTTCGAGGACTGTAGGGCGGCGGCGGCGGCATTGGACGAGGCATTCAGTGCAGTAGCGTCCGACAAGAAGTAAATTGTGTAGTAGCTAAGACTATGAGGCTGCAGAGACCGAAGTGAAGACTCGTCGCGGATGCTCCAGATATGTTGCAGAAAAGATCTTCGGGCGCTTACTCATCGCAAGTTTCCCTTTTCCCTGTTCAAGTACATTCTGATGGGTAGACGCGCTCGCAACAAGCAAGGCGCTCCTACCGCCTTCGTGGCAGCTCCTGGAGTCAAGCCTGGTGCGGCTGCAGGCAAAAAACGCAAGGCAGAGGACGAGGCAGGACGTCCGGCCGCAAAGAAACAAAAAGCCACAGTGAAAGGCACGCCCGCTGTAAAAGCCTCATCAGCGGCCAAGGGTAGACGCAAGGGAGCTCCCAAAGGCTCTGATGCGACGGATGACGACGACGAAGACGATGAGCTCTTGCCAGACGCGGACGAGATGTGGTCAGACGAAATCGGCGATGAGTGCGTTCACTCTGCTCAGCGCGAGAACTTGTGTGCTGATCGAGCTCCAGCGACGACTTGCTCAAGGCACGTTGAGCTAACTTCTCAGGCCTTTACAACACTAATCGCCGCTACAGAATGGCCCCCAGCAGCAGTTCGACTGGTCGGACGAGGACGATCCAGGCATGAGCGGACCTGGCTCCGGCGACAACGATTCGTCGGACGACAATGGCGATGAAGACGAGGACGAGGATGGGCCGGTTACCATGTCTAATATGGAGCGCAAGTCGCGCGCACTCGATCGCAAATCCGCGCGCGAGGCGGAACTCGACATGGCAGAGCTGCAGGCCGCTGCAGAAGCCGAGGAGTCTGACGATGACGGACTTGCGGACGCCGTAGACGACATGAACGAGGACTTTGAGCCCTTCACGCTGCCCACCATGGCCGAGCTGGCTGCGACCGATGCGCGGACGGAGGACCCGCAGGTCGTGTATGCGCGCCTGCGCAGCTGTGCTGCCGTGCTCGCAAACTTCAAGCGTCGCGCTGAACCAGGGCGCGCGCGAGCAGAATACATTGCCTGCATGGTGCGCGATGTCTGTAGCTACTACGGCTACAACGATTTTCTCGCCGACAAGCTATTCCATCTCTTCCCGATTGCCGAGGCGCTGGAATTCTTCGAGGCCAACGAAACGCCACGACCTGTTACACTCCGCACGAACAGCCTGCGAACACGGAGAAGAGACCTCGCCAGCGCTCTTATCGCTCGCGGCGTCAATCTCGAGCCGATCGGCAAGTGGACCAACGTCGGTCTGCAGGTGTTCGATGCCAATGTCCCGCTCGGCGCGACACCCGAGTATCTCGCAGGCCACTATATGCTCCAGGCTGCGAGCTCGTTTCTTCCCGTCATTGCCTTGGATCCTAAACCGAACGAACGCGTTCTCGACATGGCCAGCGCGCCAGGCGGCAAGACGACGCACATGGCCGCCCTCATGCAAAACACAGGCCTTGTCTTTGCCAATGACGCCAACAAAGCACGCACGAAGAGCTTGACGGCCAACGTGCATCGTCTCGGCTGTAAGAACGGTCAGCCTTTTCACGACCCCTGGTTGTCTGCTGTGATTACTGACTTTGCACCAAGTCGTTGTTTGTAACTACGACGGTCGCGAGTTTCCCAAGGTTATGGGAGGGTTTGACCGCGTCTTGCTCGACGCGCCCTGCAGCGGTACGGGTGTCATTGCGAAGGATGCCAGCGTCAAAGTCAACAAGGTACGATCCGTTGCCAAAAGTTTATCTCGTCTACTTACATCTTCCTGCAGTCTGAACGCGATTTCACGCTGCTGTCTCATCTGCAGAAGCAGCTAATTCTTTGTGCCATCGACAGCGTCGACGGTCATAGCAAGACAGGCGGCTACGTCGTGTATTCGACCTGTTCTGTGACCGTGGATGAGAACGAAGCTGTCGTTGACTACGCCCTCAAGAAGCGGCCAAACGTCAAGCTGCTCGACACTGGTCTGGAGTTTGGCGTCCCTGGGTTCACTCGCTATCGCGGCAAGGTATGTTTTGAATGCACTGTGGCGTAGCGTTCTTTTGGTTTTGGTCTCAACGCCGGCACGCGCGCACAGGCCTTCCACGACACCGTCAAGCTTACGAGGAGATTCTACCCGCATGTTCACAACATGGACGGGTTCTTTGTTGCAAAGTTCAAGGTGTCCCCGCGAGCGAAGAACCAAGGCAAGTCGGAAGAGTCGGACGAGAAGTCGAGTAAAGTCAAATCTGCCACCCATGGCGGACAAAATGGCACGGACGGCAACGCGGAGCAAACAGGGTTTGACGACAAAGCCGATGAGGCGCTTATAGAAGGTTTGTCACGTTTTCCACACTGGGCCGAGGTGGAAACTGACAACATACACAGAGGGGCTGAAGAAAGCGCAAAAGGCCAAGGGCTTCAAGGTCCTCCCCAAAGCTACAGAACAGTCTCCTGCGAAACTCGCCAAAGAGAAGAAGACGAAGCTGCAAAAGACAGAATAGACTGTCATCCGCGGAACCTCCACTACAATCCAGGTTATATCAAGGACTACGAATACTACAATCCAGGTTATATCAATCCGGTGGATAAGTCATTGCGCGTGTAAATGGGCCTTGGGGCATGGACTCAAAGTTCGTCTGATGTCTGGAAGCCGGTTCGGCCGCGCAGTTGTTGAATTTCTTGTTTCGCCTCTACGAGTTCCCGCTTGGTGTCCTCGAGCTCGCGCTCAAGCTCACTGATTTCGCCCTGGCTGAGCTTGCTCACACCAACTGCCACTCCGGTGAATCCTGCAAGTCGCACCGTGAGCCTGAATTTAGCGTGCGAACTTGATGAAATGTAATCTGCGGTGCACGCACCTCCCGCCAGTCTGACGATTCGCCAAAGACGGAATATGATGACAAGGCCTGCGACTTCCTTGGCTGGTCCAGAAAGTGCCTGCGTGTGCCAGTCAGCGAGCTGGACGGTGCTACTGATACCGCGCGATGGCCACGCACAAGCTCAAACACAGCCGTGACGATTAGGACGGTCGCGTCTATAAAGTGCAGCGGTTGGGAGATAGGGCTGTAAAACTTCCAGCCGAATGCATACGTCTCGAGCGGGATTTCGAGAAGAAATGCGACGGTGATCACGGTGCTCATGGTCGAGAGCGCGTTCAGC